CTCTAATGGTGCGTAAAGTAGACTCCTTTATTCCCGTTGCACGCACAATATCACATGTTCTTTCCTTATTTTCAAAACGCTTGACAACATCAAGCTTGCCTTCAAGTGTTAGAGCCTTTCTTTTACGATCACCACCGGAAATGCGATCACCAGAATGCTTCCCGGAGATATTCTTCTTTTCCATAGTCACAAAATTGGAGAAACAGTAAATCAGAAAGCACTGAGGACGCTTAAAAATTTCTCACGTCTTCCAAAGTGAACGTGTGGAGTAAAGAGAGCGCAGGTCTAAAACGCTACGTATTTTGTTTTTCTCTCTTATTTAAAATTTTACAATTTACATATACTGTACAGGTATACTGTATACATAAATATTACATAAATTATTTCTGCAATTGTTCACAAACAAAACATAAATCAATTGAACATGTGATGTCGAACGTGAACTGTAAACACTGCCTAACCCCGCGCCAAGCTACAATGTACAGTACACTTTAAACGCTACGTATTTAGTTTTTCTCTTTTATTTAAATTTTTACAATTTACATATATATATATAAGTAAATTGTAATTTACATATTATTCATATTATGCTACAGCGCCCACAAAACATGAGAAACGTTTGAGTCCCCCAGTAGAGATGTCCGTTCTCTATCCACTCCAGGATGTCCTAGTCCTCCGTTTTCTTTTTGTGTACTCGCTCAGGGACTCAAGTATTTCTGTATATAACACAGGATGATAAGGGAATTTGAAATTATGAGTGAATGAATTTATTATACAGTGATCAATTAACATAGTTTTGATGTGTTTAAGTAGTATTGAGGCGCCTTCAGCCTAGTAATGTTACGACATTGGTATCACTCACTCTAAACCAGGAATTCCACCCATACACAGAGAGAGAGAGGCCAAGCGCTCTGTTTACATCACACACACTTAAATATTACATACCGTATATCTCGGCCTATTTTATAATCGCAGTCATGTACTAAATATTCTATGTAAAAAATATAAATTTTAAATTAATTATTTATAGTGTGGTCGACTTCCTACACAAAGACGGGCTATAAATAGCCGTCTTATCTCCCCTCCATCCCTCTGTTCTCAGAGAGAAGGTCTTGGTAAATAACTTTTGTTTGTTTATTTTCATTGTTTGTCTAATTTATAATGTTGTATCAAAGTAATATTACTAAACGTTTTAGGCAGCTACCAAACAGGGAGATACTACCGCCTGGGAAGATATTGGAAGCATAATGTACAGTATTGTCTAATGGTAGACCCTACCAGTACTTCCATATGGCATCACGAAAATTGTGACCAAGTCTTAGGTTGCTGATCTATCTTCCTGCCTCATTTACACACACTTGCAGAGTTTCAATTGTTTCTCTTCCTTTGACAACACAACATACATACAATATAATTTTCTCACCTTTGATCTTTTTTCCTTTTTGCATTTATTTTTGGTTGGTTATTTAAAATAAGGCCAATTCACTTAAAGTATTGGCATCAAATTTTACTGGCTGGTGTACAGTAGTGTAAACACTAGTGACTCACTTAAGCGTCAGTTATTTAACTGGAACTAATGTCGGTGTGAGTAAAATATTTCCATTTACTTGAAATAGATTTGCCTATTTATTTTTTTATTTATTTATTTATAATATACTATAATATATTAAATATACTGCAAGTATTTTCTTTAATTTATATACTTGTTTTGCAAAAAAGGGAGGCTACCATTATACCTGGTAGGTGAAGTTGACCAGACATTTATGGTGATCATTAAGGACCAAACTCCGAATCCATGACGTGACTTCTGTTCATCATTTATATCCTAAATTTACCACTGTCGGTAGTTTCAAGAATTAACTCAGTCATTTACTGAATATTCTTTGTAAAAAAATAAATTTTAAATGAATTATTTATAGGAGATAAGTATTCTGATCAGTAAATATACAGATATGCATTACTGACCACCTCCGAACACAAGGACAGCTAAAAATAGCCACAGGCGGTCACAGTCAAGGTCACTTTCCCTTTCTTGTCACTGGCAAATGGGGGGGTGGGTGATGATAGCAGCTGTGTTTATTACCGGGGTATATTGTTCTTTTACGGTATGTTAGACAGGTTTATAATACATTTTTATTATTTTAATATACCGGTAATCTTCATTTTAATCCAGCTTCCCAAACGTAAGTTTCAGTATAAAATAATTAGTGGTAGGACCTTGTGAGTGGTTTACTGTATAGATAAATATTACATAAATTATTTCTGCAATTCTTCACAAACAAAACACATAACTCAATTGAATATGTGATGTCGAACGTGAACTGTAAACACTGTGTGTGATGTAAACAGAGCGCGGGTGTAAAACGCTACGTAATTTGATTTTCTCTTTTATTTAAAATTTTACAATTTACATATACTATACAGGTATACTGTATACATAAATATTACATAAATTATTTCTGCAATTCTTCACAAACAAAACACATAACTCAATTGAACATGTGATGTCGAACATGAACTGCATAACCCCGCGCCAAGCCATAACAACCGTTCGAGTGGAATCGCGTTAGAGCAAACGCGTTCGCATTTTACAAATATTGTTCCTCTATTCATCAATCGCGTTAGAGCCAATTCGCATTGTCAAAACACGCGTTATAGCAGAACTCACTGTAGATTAACATTTCACATGTAGGCAAATGCTTAAAAAAAGCCTAAGTAAGGAAGCATATTCCTTTAACACATAATATCTGACTAGTATGGGGAGGATCATCGTGTCTCCGTCAGGGGGTCGTGGAATGGTGGTCCAGCAGGCGTCACTTTTTTTTTGGGGGGGCCGCGGACTTATATGCGATCGGACGTTGTTCAGTCGGACGTTAACCGGCGCATGACTGTATATATATATATATATATATATATATATATATATATATATATTAAAGTTGAATTGAAAAACATAAGTATAATGGGGGAGCAGTGCAACATGGGTTGTACAGTAATAAGGTTGAACAAGAGGACAGAGCTGTCAGGATTATGACTAGTTGGCAAATATGTTTATTGCAATGGTAATTACTTATCTATTTACATCATAATTTCCGATAAAATGGTTTTGATGGTACAATAAAAACAGGCACTGTAAATATAGTAGGTGTTACAAGAAATATTAATACTTAGACAATAGATATTTTTTAAGATGATTTAAAGGAAGGGAGCGTAGTCTTTGCTCGGATGGGTGGGGGTAAGTTGTTCCATACCTTCACACTGTGATATTTTATGGAGGTCCGGGACTGAGAGGAGCGCATGGGGGGTGGTCTTAGTAGCTCTGGGTGCCTTAAATTGTATCTCTGATTATTCCAGAACTGGAAATAATTATTGTCAAGCAGGTGATTGATAGATTTGTAAACAAAGAGGGCACAGCAGTAGGTGTTAATATCTTCGAATTTTAACATTTTCAATTTTGCAGTTTTTCGTTTGTGTGATCTGTTTTTTCAAGTAGGTCATTGTCCGTACAACTTTCTTCTGTGCAGTAACCAGAGATTGTGCAGCGCAGTACTATACTGTACAGCACTGTACTCTACTGTACAGCACTGTACTATACTGTACAGCGCAGTACTATACTGTACAGCACTGTACTCTACTGTACAGCACTGTACTATACTGTACAGCACTGTACTATACTATACTGCACTACTGTACAACACTGGACTGTATTGTACTGTACAGCTCTGTACTGTACTCTACTGTACAGCACTGTACTCTACTGTACAGCACTGTACTCTACTGTGCAGCACTGTACTCTACTGTACTGCACTCTACTGTACTGTACAGCACTGTACTCTACTCTACTGTACAACACTGTACTCTACTCTACAGCACTCTACTCTACTCTACTGTACAACACTGTACTTTACTCTACAGCACTGTACTCTACTGTACAACACTGTACTCTACTCTACAACACTGTACTCTACTCTACAACACTGTACTCTACTCTACTCTACAGCACTGTACTCTACTCTACAGCACTGTACTCTACTCTACAGCACTCTACTCTACAGCACTCTACTGTACTGTACTGTACTCTACTGTACAACACTGTACTCTACTCTACAGCACTGTACTCTACTCTACTGTAGAAACATCCTGGTATTAAGCTGTCAATTCTCCCTGGCAGTGTTGGACTGTGCCAGGGACCACTTAGTGTAGTAGACCTTGTAATTCAGTTGTTTCAATCCCTCACTAATAAACCTTGATCTCAGAGTTCATATTTTTTCTAATGGCAGAGGAGATGAAATTAGTGATGTGGGCTCTTTAACTCCTCTCTTATCGGCAGAGAAGTACTGTACTGTAATATATGTTGGATGTTGAGTGTCTTTGATGTGCAGTGAACCCTTGAGGTCAATGTCTCCACCCTGTTGTTGATGAATCCAGATATGACTGAGTGAGAAGACTGCTTGCATTATGAACAGACAGCGTATCCCTCTCTTTGGCCAGTGGCAGGGGCTGTGTGGGGTCAGTCCATGATGGAATATCTTGTTTCATCCCTTCTGGCTATACAATAGGATTTCGTGACTCAAACTTTCATATGTAATATCAACGTTAACTGTGTATTAATAACTCATTATGACAAAAGAAAAAAGTATTGTACAGTCGGTGACAAAAGTTTGCTCCCTCCCAAAATGAAGCAGTATTGACCCCAAGTGAGATAAAACAGCACACCCACACCAGATAACAGTCAGGGTAAGTAAAGTTCGGAGACTCATTCCCGTGATTCAGTTTCACCACGGAGAGCGAACTTTTGCCCACGACCGTACATTGTCACTATTCACTTTATATCAAACCATCAAGCTTTGGTGTTTGTTTATTGGAATGAAATCTACCTATAAAATACAAACAAACATAAGTGAACAAATATGTTTTAACTTGTTGACTATGAAGATAAATGTATGCATCATTTTTAGGCCCAATAAAATATGGTTAGTGATAATTTACTTGAATTTCAGAGAGTTGTCCCCGGGTAAGCATAGACATACGTCAGTGGCGGCACGGGTGTTACACACTGCTTAGAGACGACAACTTGGAGGACAGGTGCTCTTTAGATGCCAACCTGTTTGTCAACATCTCGGACAAGTGGTCCCAAGAATATGGTGGATTTATTTCCTATATTGCCAAAGATGAAGACACAGAGGTAAATCTTGAATTCTTTTGACTTCCGCAAATTTGTATACTGTATTTAGAAACAGGTTTATTGTTCTGCCTTCGTGGAAGCACAATTTGGAGAAACTTATACGAGGTACAGTCTGTAGTCATCAGATCACATCATTATGGGCAGATTACATTAAGAGGTTGTATCAGGTGATGGAGTTAGTGTGAGTTAGATGAGCTTATACTGCCCAGTAGGGAGTGACAGTTTGGCAAAAGTTTTCAAAATCTAATTGCTTGGGTTGGATTATTTGTCTATCGGCCACGCTAATTCCGAATATGTTTGAGTTTTTTACATCATTGCATTAGAAGGTTTGTGGATACTTTTGGGTTTGGCATGAAAAACGCGAAAAAACTGTAAATAATAAAGGGACTGGCAATGTGGCACAACCTGTCAAAATCAAGTTATTGAATTGGATTATTCGACTACTGTGTACACTGGTTCATAATATGCTATTGTTTTACAACTCAATGCGCTACAAATTATGCCGATATTTTTGCTGCAAGTCACCACATACGTATATTTCGAAAACCAGGGCCCAATATTACCAACGGCGTGGATAGATTCCGTGGAATGAATTCAGGACATTCCCGCTCATGGAACATTACCAAACTCCGTATATGTGCCAATGGCAGGCCAATGGCAATATTTACAGAGTTTGTTGAGGCTCCCTGGACGGGAATGCCCTGAATTTATTCCACGGAATCTATTCACGCCGTTGGTAATATTCGTCCCAGGACTGATCAACGAATTCAGCCCAAGTAGCTTGACTTGGACAGTTAAGGACAAAATCTCAGTCCGTACTTTTGAATAAAATATTGTTCAATAGGTGGTGATATTGAAGTGCTGAAAGTTGTTTTTTCTGTGTTGTTTTGCAGTTAGTTCAAAGGGCCGCCACCAAGATGGGTCGTCCTAAGATTAGCAACACTCAGCTGCGCCAGGGTAACGATAAGGTGTTCGGGGTTTGAGGCGCAGGTCTGCGGTCCTTGAGCTGGATCCGAGCCACCGAATGAACCTTTTAATCCATGCCACCCCTTTCACCAAGCAGTACCATGATGAGTACCTGAGCCACAGTTTGGCGAGGGACCATTTTGACTGCTCACTCACTGCCAGAGCCACTACAGATCTCTGGGGTGCTTCTCTTTTCACCTCCAGGAAGTCGTTCAGAGCTACTGGCAGTTCCTTTCCCTTTGGCTACTGTTCTTCTATGTTCAGTAGAAACTCAGGACCTCATATCCACCGAGATCCTGCAACCAGGTCCAGAACAGGTAATCCCCTAGCTGCATCATCCGCTGGATTTAGTGATGTGCTAACATGTCTCCACTGGTCGATTCTTGACAAATCTTGTATGACTGCTATCCTTTTGGCTACAAACGTATGAAATCGTCTACTCGAATTGGCGATGTACTGCAAGACTAACATGCTATCTGTCCAAAAGTAAGATTCGTGTATAGTTATGGTCATTTCTTGGCGAATCGTTCGATCAGCGTTCACTGCCAGGACAGCTGCACAAAGTTCCAGCCTTGGTATTGTTAGTTGCTTGAGTGGGGCCAGCTTGGCCCGCATGTACACGAAAGAGCACTGGATACTTCCATCAGAGTCTACCAGTCTCAAAAAAGTCACCGCACCATAATCAGCTTGCGATGCATCGCAGAATGTGTGCAACTGTGCTAAGATGATTTCTTTAGCACATGCTGTTTTTAGGCATCTAGGTACACTAAATTTCCCTAGGTAGGCCAGTTCTCCTAGCCAGGTACTCCAGATCGTGTGATTAATAGTTGATAAAGGTTCATCCCATCCTAATCGATGTCTGCATTCGTCCTGAAATAATATTTTAGCCCTGGCGATGAATGGAGCCACAAACCCCAGTGGATTGTAAATGGAACTGACAAGGCTTAATACTCCTCACCTGGTCGCTGGCCTTGAATGTGGTTGCACCTTGATGGCGAGCTGATCACCTTCCAGGAGCCCCCTAACTCTTAGGGCTCGCTCTATTGGCAATTTGTCTTGCCTCAGATCAATTTCCTCCAGTGGGATGATAGCCAACACTCCTTCATGATTACTGGCCCACTTAGTCAACCGAAATGTTCTGCGCGCCAACAGTCTTCTAAGCTGACACGTTAACATTGATGCTTCATTTGGCGAGTCAAGCGACATGAGTAGGTCGTCAACGTAGAAGTTGACTTAAGCTTGCGTCACCATATCAGGAAACTCTGACCTGTTGTCACGAAATATGCTCAGAAGGGTGTAAGTTGCGCATGAAGGGCTCCACACCCCACCAAAGATGTGCATCTTCATCATGTAAGTTACTGGCTCTCTACTCAGGTCCCCATTCTCCCACCAGAGGAATCTTAACGCATCTTGATGTTCTGGCGCTACATGGATTTGATGGTACATAGTCTCCACATCTGCCATGATGGCTGAAGTCCTTTGGCAAAATCTAAACAGAACTCCAAGTAATTTGTTGATGAAGTCTGGACCTTGTAGTACCTGGTTGTTCAGCGATGTCCCTTTGTGTTTGGCTGCACAGTCAAAAACTCTGCGGACTTTGTTTGGCTTATTTGGGTTCAACACCGGGTGATGAGGCAAATACCAAACCAGTCTAGTATCTGATTCCAACTGGAACTTAGGCACTGATTCAGCATATCCTTCAGCAAGCAGTTTATTTATTTCCTCCATATATCCTTGTCACAACTGTGCGACCTTGGATAGTCTCCTTCAAAGCCCTTCTAGTCGACGCTCTATCATGGCCTTGTTGTTTGGGAGTTCCGTGTTCTCATCATGGAACGGTATGGGAAATTGGTAATGCCCATTAGTTTTGATGACTGTCTTTGACCATAGCCTCAACACTCTTTTGCCCTCAAGTGAATAAGCTGCTGACTGCAAGGCTCCTGTGTCCCCACTTTCCAGCTCCCAAAAAGCTTAACTTGTCTTTCCAGACTGGTTTCAGGACCACGAGTTTCGGTCATCAGGCATCCTGACATACAAATTCCTTGTGTGTCTTGGTGCCCCACCATTCCATTCACTGTTCAACCCAGTCGCGTTCTTATTGTGAATGGCATTCCATCCCTTTCTTCTCTGACCTCCAAAGGTACCAGGGCCTGTGGCACATCTTGTCCTATCAGAATTTCTATGCTGTTGCTCTGCAATTCTGGTAATTCCACACCTCGCAGATAGGTCCACCTTGAAATATCACTTATTGTCGCTACAGAGTTGCAATTTTGTACCCTGTATAATGAGTACTTTCGGCATCAGTATGGTCCTGCCTCATTTCATGTCTGCTCCAGCCACTTTTAGATCTACTTCCTCTGACTTGTGTATCGCTTCTTGCCAAATGTACCCATGGTTACCAGGGTAGGTGTCTCTTTCACCCTTAGTTTCTGTGCCAGATCTTTGATGCAATACGACCTGTCGCTGCCCAAGTCCAGGAGAGCTAAAGTTCTGATGTGATTTCGTTGGTGCGAGTCCTTTCCCCGAATCTTTACACTCACTATGGGCAGTACAATCTTGGCATTTTTCGTCAATAGTCTGATGTCTCCTTCGTAGCTGTATGGGTTTTCATGGCCGTCCTCTGTCCCTGTAGCATAGACATGGCCTATTTGTCCAGCCTTGTACGAATTGTTGCTGACTTTCAGGGCCATGCCAGCATCAGAGGTGCCTGCCATTAACTCCTGTTTCACGAGACCTTGAAACTTTTGCTTCACGCCACCCTTGCTTGTGTTTGACATATTTGCAGGAAGTGCCTCCCTTCGTTCTTGATGCAACAGTTTAGAATGCTTCTCTTTGCACCCATCTGTGCCACACCTGAAGCATGACCAACACTCAGCAACAAGTTGGCCCATTCTCAGACACAAGAAACAGCAACATAATCTTTTCACTCTTTCTAACCTCTCCCTCACTGACATGCTCCGGAATTTGTCGCACCCTGTTATTCCATGTATTCTAGAACACAATGGGCACGAGCTTTTTTCAGAGCTTGTTTCTCCTCCATTGCCTTTCGCCTCACTGATAGTCACTAGGCCCATGGCGCGTTTGCTTGATGATGATCCTTCTGGTCTTTTCTTGCTTCCTTCTTGTCTGTCTTCGCTTGATAGCAGAGCCATGGCATCCATCGTCACCGCTTTCTCCTCAAGTATAGCGCTAACCACTTCACCAGCCCCGTTCTGTGTCCTGTCAACTTCTGATATATCCATACATCATCCGCACAGCGTTCCCTCAATTTTGAGGGAAGCTTAACAACCATTGATCTGAAAGTCTGTCTTGTTTCTAGTTCAGACATCAAGTTCTGATTATCCAGATGGCTTACTGCACCCCATAGCTGCGATGCCAGTTTCCGCAGCCCTTCATCGTCGAAAGCCCTGACTGGGCGAGCGTCTATGAGCCTTTTCACCAGCTGGTCCGCATATGCATACTTATCTCCAAACCTTGCCTCCAAGATCTTGATTGCCTTGTTGTAGGCTCGGTCTGGCTGTAGATAGTCGCATCCCATGATTTCTTGATGCAGCTCTTCTTCACAAGCAGCCTTGAGCAGTTGGTACTTACACTTCTCAGGCACAGCCGCATTTGTCATGTATCGACGGAAGGCATGCATAAAGGTCCAAAACTCGGCCTGACTTTGTCATTTAGACTTAGGAAGTGCGGCTTGCGGCATGTTCATCGTGGCCACTAATTCTCTTATTTCTTCACCTTTCCCTAGTTCTCCTTGTGGCTGCATCATTGTGATCTGGGGCACTTTGTTTGCAAGTTTTGGCGGTAAAGATGAGGCCATTTGGTCGGCATTGACCGATGCCTGTCGCTGGGTTTCTTCCCGTACTATTGGCTTCTCACAATTGCTGGAGTTTTCTGTCGAAGGCTGTGAGCTATCACTTCTTCGCGTTAGTGCTGATGCCTCTTGACTTGCCACCATTCCAGTGTACTTTGTCTTCATCCACTCTGCCTTAAGCTCTCGCAAGGCTCGGTTTACTTCATTCGACGCTGCCTCAGCTCTGGCCACTGCTTGTTGATAATCCAATTCCTTACTGTAACTTTCCCGTGGATCTCCTGATATTGCAAGCTCATTTCCAGTTTCACCACCCTCTCATTGTACCTCAGTGGGAGGATCCATTGTTATTAGGTCAAAATGTTTGATTCCATCTAGGTCCAACTCTCCTTCTATGTCGTCGATATACCCAATCTCCGACATCTTGCTTAGTCAAATAATTTGGATTGCGTTCGTTCTGTCACTTGGTAGCACCTTGTTTGCCATTGCCAATCTGAGTATGTTTTTCGGCCACGTGTGTTTGATTATTGGGCACTTACTTATGCCCCCAATACGTTGACCCTATCTAGGCATGGGTTCATCTGATGGGCACATGTGTGTGCCTCGTATCTCACTCATTTATCAGGGCACGTCTGTATGCCTCGTATCTCACTCATTTATCAGGGCACGTCTGTATGCCTCATATCTCACTCATTTATCAGGGCACGTCTGTATGCCTCGTATCTCACTCATTTATCAGGGCACGTTCGTGTGCCTCGTATTATTGCTTTTGTTACAGTCGCCCTGGCACTCACTTTGCCCACTCTGACACTCACACCTGATATCATTACAAACTTTACTATGATATTTGGGTGGTTTCTAAGCGATATCACTTCAGTCAAATATGATTGCTAATTGTGTTCTGCTCTTACGTCAGACAGCAGCAAAAACATTTGTTTTCATTTTTATATGCCCTACACAAAGTCATTGACTCACTCGGACAAGATTATTTTCTTCACTAACATGGTTTAAATACCACCACGAGAAGTATACGGGCGTTGCATTGCACTTCTCACCACTGTGTACGCACATGCACTCACACACACACACTCGTTCTTCGGACAATTATTTCTTTTACTTTTTTTCACGATATGCATTTAGGATGGTGTGTGCATGTAAATGAGTAAAAATAAATGAAGAAAGTTAAGTATATATCTTCCCAAAAATACAAGTTGAAAAACTTGTACTTAAATGTACGACACTAAAGGACTAAAATTTTTATCTCGTGTGCAAACAATGTGATGTTTGTACTCAAATTATTCACTATCTTGCAGGGATTCCAGCAGTGCAAGTTACATTCTGCAAAGTTTAATCTGTGACATTTTATAAGATAAAAACTTCAGCCTTAAACTACCTTCATACTGTTTTGGGAATGCCTCTTAGAGAAGCTTCTTAGCCCAAAAACCCAAAAATTTTTGTCCGAATTTTCCGAAGTCCGGATTTACCAGGTCCGGATCTTTAAGGTGTTTACTGTATTTCATTGTGGGTTTCTCTGGGCCCAAGGTGATTTTGGGCTCTAATACTAGTGGGACCCACACTGCCTCCATCACTGTCAACAGGGTCGGATTAAGCTTAATAGGGTCCTGAGGCACAGATCAACTTGGGCCCCCCTACCCTCAAGGTATATAAAAATAACAAGAACAAAATATACCCAAATTTATCAATGATTTCATCTATATTAAGCTTCTGCAAAATAACACATTTAATGTTCATAAGAGACAGAAAATTGAGACTTTGCTAGGACATCGTTGAACAAAGTTCATGTTTTATACGCTTCAATTTCGAGAATGTTTGGATTTGGGGGCCCCTTAGAGTCGGGGGGCCTGAGGCCAGTGCCTCATGGTTAATCCGGCACTGACTGTCAACTTTTTATTGTCTGAAAATTGGAAAAGTCCAGACACCAACTCACATTTGGTCCCAAGCTCACCAGATTTCATATTATAAACTTAAGAGCCTTAATGTAGCACTTTACCAATAACACTTTACAAAATGGAAGATCTCCCACCAATCACATTTCAGGATGCAATCATTCTGCTAAGTTCTAAAATAGATATGCTAGGCCTCACCATTTCCTCTAGTATGTTATGGAAGCCACACATCCACAACATTGCTAAAGCTGCCTCCTGAGCAGTTGCTTCAAGTTTATAAGGGATTCATTCATCCTAACTTGGAGTACTGCTCTCATATCTGGGTTGGCTCTTCTTCTGTCCAACTGTTAGATAGGGTGGAATCAAAGGCATTACTTCTTATTAACTCTCCTCCTTTAGTTGATAATTTTTCTTCCCTTTCTCTTCGCCACAATGTTGCTTCACTCTCTCTCTTTTACAGGTACTTTAACGGGCAATGTTTGATGGATTTGGCATCCTGTGTACCGCCAGCAGGGCTGTCGGCTCGTAACACTTGTCTTGGCCACGTTGCCCACAGTTTCTGTGTGGATGTCGGTCACACTAGAATAACCCGTTATAGTACATCCTTCTTTCCTCACACAGCCAAACTGTGGAATACTCTGCCTTCCTCTGTGTTTCCATACTCATACAATCTGTCTCACTTCAAAAAGCTGGTTTTCCGGCATCTTCGTGGTGTAGATTAATTTAATCTTTTTTCTTTTCTATTTTTAATTTCTTTTTACTCTCATTTTTTCGCCCCCAGGCCACCATTGTGGGTCGATGACCTGTGCCCGGGTGGGCTAACCCCCTCCCCTCCCCCCCAAAATCTACCTGAAAAAGGTTTTATAGTCATCATGTGGCTGGCTGTATAGTGTCCTCTTCTATCAAGTACTGTACTGTACTGGCAAAATAAGAGTTAGGTTTTGACCATCACCCTTTATGGCAAGTTTTATCCCTTGTAAATAGTACTGTAATAGAGTCTTTACCATCAGTTATGCACTAATTACAAAATTCATGATTGGGATGTTGTAAGTTTTTGTTTGGGTGTTTAGTGTATTCTAGGGCTGCTTTACTACTTCTTGGTGTACTACTTTGATAATATTATTCCAGGGCTGCTTCAGTACATCTTGGGGAACTACTTTGATAATATCCATTACTTTTATGAGTTGACAAAATATAAGAACCTTATTTCTCTCACCAGCTGTTGACTGTGGTGCCAAGACCCAACCGTTTTGCTCTCGTCTACCGGGATGCTGAGACTCTCAGGTTCACCAAGCATATCAACGCCAGTGTGTGTGAACTGGGAGAGAGAGACAGCTCCTACAACAATTTTGCTTGTGTTTATTATGAGTGAAATGTACTGAGTTTAACATTAAAGTGTGCAACTTTATCAAATTTTGAAGAGAAAGACAAATAAGAATCCTGTTATAATGTTTATATTACAAGTGCTGTATAGCTCATATGACACAAATACTTTTATGATTCATATATTAGTAAAATACCTGTGGTGTTTGTTATGGAGATCATCTTGATGTTAATGATATGTCACCTTACATATTAGATTTTATAAGACAAAATCTTGATAACTTGAGGTGAGTCAGGGAATACTGTCAATTTTTCCTACACTAATAGTCTTATTTAGTTGCTTTTTCAGGCTGAGAAACAAGTGATGTGTTAATATTAAAATAACATAGATATGAGGAAAAGACAGGGTATAAACAGATTGTCATCAGAGGCTAAACAAATACAGTAATATCTTCATTATCAGGAGTCCCTCAAAGCCGAAACTCTCAGATAGCCGGAATTGAAATTGGCTCGGAAAATCGTAACTGAAGCCGGACTTTTCCAAAAAATTCCGGCTTTAGGAACAAATTTCCCAAGGTTGAAAATTAAGAGAATTTTCTGAAAATGTCTTGAATAAAGATGAAAGTTAATTTTTTTTTTGGGGGGGCAGACCTGACCTGGCCTGACTCAATGTCAGGTGGAGGTAGGGTGGGGGATTAGTGGTCTCATATTACTGATCTTCTGATGGAATGTCAGGTCACCCTTCCTTGGGTAGGGGATTAGTGGGTCTCATGACCTGAAGATGTCGTGAATAAACACAAAACCTAAAGCATTTTAGAGAGATTGTGATAAGTATAAGTATAAATGAGCAAAGTTGTATCCCTTCAACATTACATTACATAACATTTTAAAATATGGAGTGAGAAAGCAGGAAGGTGTGGGTCATGAGAGAGATGGAGTAGAAAGGAGTGGTAACATGCACAAGTGTTTTCCAAGCAATAAGCTCCTCAACAGCTGATCTCTTAATTCGCCTCCATTTGTGTGTGTGTGTTTTAGCTTGCCAAGCACATTATAGGATTTAAAGAAGTTTATGAAGAGTTTGTTCAGGAGTCAGGTGGTGAGGTGACATGCCATGACACTTACACAACACACACAATAACAGCACTACTAAACCATTGTCTTATAACATTTTACTTTATAATTTATATTTTAAAATTAATTGATAGATGATGCTCGACAGGGTTACTTTTACACTTAGACAACTGATCAGTGAATAAACCAGGGCATATGGAGACTCATTATACACTAGTGATGTCACGAAGCTTTGAAACTGCAGCCACAACTTCTGAGCAACCACATAAATTATCACAACCTGTACTCAAATTTACTAAGTTAATTACTAAAATTATTATGTCTGTTGCAAAATAATTCCAACAATGCAAGTTATCTTCTCTTAAGTCAAGTCAGTGACATTTATAAGTGAAAAAACTAAACCCCCGGCTTTCATAATACTTTAATAAGCGTTATCTCCCCTCCTGGCTGTTGACACCCCACCTCCCAGACAGAGGGAGAAGGGTCCATTGGGGGGTAAAAGTGACCGCGACACCCCCTCCCAAAAAGGGTCGCCTCACTGTTTGTCTACTGTACTGACTCATTCACGATACAATATTATTTGTTTTTCATTAATTAGTAATGATACATTACAGCTCCTCCTCGACTTACGACAGGGTTAGGGACCCAAATCCAGGTCGTAAGTCAAAATGGTCGTAAGTCGAAAATGCTTAAATAATAATACATAGAAAATCTAAAATGGGTGTCTGTTTTTCTTCTCAGCAGCACAAAACTCTCACTTTTAAGCTTGCCAGCCATTTTAAAGTGAATTACAAACGATAATTTTGTCAGTACACAGCGCAATCAACGACGTTGGGACTCGAAAATACATAATTTGACAAAATTTGGGTACAACTGAGGCGGTCGTAAGTCGGGGAGGGGCTGTACTCTAATAATCTGTGCTTATTGATACCTGTACCCTTCATATACAATACAGTATAGTACTATGTATATACCTCTTAGGTAAAACTTAGTCATTCAAGGCATCTTCAGGTCATAAGACCCACTAATCCCCCACCTAACAATGGGTGACCTGACATTGCATCTGGTCAGGTTAGTAAAATGACCCAATAATCTCCCAGCCAACCTTCATCACAAGTGTTAAGACATGATTAGTTATGTTTTACAGTCAATTGAATGAAGTGTCTGCCTACACTAGGCTACAGATGGCAGGATCTGCTGGTGAGTACAATATATACAGTACACAAGAACACTTGCCAATGATGTGTAACAGATGTGACCGATCGCCCAAGTGACTAACGCTCCGATCAGTGGTGAGGAGGATAAAAGTAACACAGCTCTGTTCACACCCGTATCATATAGAGCTTCTGTTTCATAAAATATATTTATTTAACCAAACTTTCAGATAAAGTATTCAGGACTATTTTGATAAAAATGCTGTCTAATGAAATTAGAGCTGATTTTACTGACTCCGGTAACAACATTAATAATGTTATGTTTTTTTTATCAAAGAATGGAATTCCCATCACTATATCATATAGAAATATTTTGTTTAAGAATATCTTATTGGAAACGTTTGGTAGAGAATTTATTAAGGATCATTATGGTATCAAATTCATCTCCCTATCACAATTAGCCACGCTTGAGTGGGGAAGGGAGTGACCGTGTGACCCTACCCCCAAAAAGGTTCGCATCCGTCATCATACACCAACACCGCCCATACCTTACACATACACCCTACATCACACACAGACACCCTCCAACACCACTCACACACCCCCAGCAAGGGAATTAAGACCCATCTCTGTGTGTGTGACTGTATGGTAGTGAGTTAGATATCAGCTGTTGAGGAGCACTTGGCAACACTCCTTTCTACTCCATCTCTCTAATCACCCACACCTTTCTCACCCCATATTTTAAAATGTTATGTAATGTAATGTTGAAGGGATACAACTTTGCTCTTGTATACTTACAGTATATCTGTACTTACCACAATCTCTCTAAAAATTCTTCAGGTTTTGTGTTTATTCAAGACATCTTCAGGGCATGAGACCCACTAATCCCCCACCCAAGAAAGGGTGACCTGACATTCCATCAGGAGGTCAGTAATATGAGACCACTAATCCCCCACCCTACCTCCACCTGACATTGCATCAGGTCAGGTCAGTTACACAAGACCCATTAACTCTCCCACAGCTCCATGGGAGTGGAAAATAACAGTCTTTGCTGTAACACACAGATTCATTCACGCATGTATCATATAGATTTTAAATTTTTAAATATATTTATATAATCAAACTTTTAGATAAACTAATCTGGGTTATTATGTAAAAGTAATAAAATTTCTAACTTGATTAGAACTGTATTTACGGATTCCAATAGTTTAGACTCGAAGAAAACATCTCCAGCACCCAGAAATGTTCTGGGGATATGGGCAATTGTCCGTCTGTGCAAGATGTCTAATGTTTAGACACTTGGAAACTTTTCCCAGTAACCGGAAAAGGTTCCAGGGATAAGGAATTTTTCCGGATTTGAGAAAGTCGTCTTGTTACCTGGAATTTTCTCTCATCCCGGAAGTGCTCTGCATCAATTGTTCCGGCTAACTGGGATATCACCGTATTGTGATGCAGCGAGAGTTGAGTGTGATATTTATAGTATAATGAATCAGAGTGTGTCTGTTGATATTGCTGATGCTGCTGAAAAAGTTACTAATGATAAGAGAAAGAGTTAAGAGATATGTGTTGGTAGGAGAATGTTGAGAGTGAACGTGAAAAAGGGAAAGTAATGAAAATAGGTAGAGTGAAGTTAGTCGGAGAACTAACTGTTTGGTGGCAAGGAGACACTGGTGAGGTGTCCGGGGGAGAATGTGTTGGTTATTGAGACCGTTTGGAGACAGACACAGTTTGGGGTCAGTGAAATAATTGAAACCATTTTCAATTTTTAGCATTTAAATATCACCTGAATATTAGCCCCTCCCCCCTCCCCCCCCCCTCCCTCTCCTCCCCATGATAGTTTTGGACTGGTTAAATTTGTGTTTGATTAAGCTTAGGGGGGGTTAATCTTCAGGTGATCCATGGTGGCTAAGATTGTGAATGGTGGTGTGATGGATGATGGTATACAGTACAGTTGGTCCTCATATTACGCGGTTAATGTAACCCGGAGGGTACCGCGGAAAGTGAGAAACGCGTAAAGTGAATAACATAACATATGGGATTAATTGAAATGGAGTCCGGGCCGATCCCCAAACTCCACTTTTTGACGACACACAACTATGTTGTAGTAAAAATATTATCTTAACTTTATGATGGCATGCACACACAATTAATAATTAAGAGAAATATCAATAATATTAGGTTTTTTAACACTTACATTAGTAGAAAAGATGGCTGGGCACACGGGGATGGGCGGTTGGTTCCGAGGCAGAGGGCAGATTATTGGCCCTCACCTGTATCACTTGTATCAATTGTATCACTATCCACCACAGAGGCTTGCAGGGCCTCTTTGTCAAACCCCCCAAAGTTCATATAAGTCCATATCCTCACTATAATTATCACTATCACTGACTTGGGCCGGCTGTAGTGGGTGGCGGGTGAAGAACTGGTCATGTTTTGATGACTGGGCGACCTTGTGCGCACCATTTTCGCGCCTCTTACACAACATGGCGGATGGCGGGAGGTTTGGATCCAAAAATGGCACGGCTTGCCAGCCGCTCTCCGCGTAATGGGGTTCACGACCGCGGAATGTGAAAATGTTAGGTTCTGGCAAGGCACCGCGTTAACGGTGAAACGCGGAATGCGGGACCGCGTAATATGAGGACCAACTGTACAGTATATAAGGGGATATCATTAATTGGACCCAACTGTACTGTATTGTATTAGCGTGATGCATGGAGTCCAACACAAGGAGGAGAAATACTGAGGCAGAACTTACGTGCTGGAGGCCAGTATGTGAGGTAGACAAGAGACTGTACCCTCTCGTGCATCATGACATGAATCGCATTATATCGTTGGGTAGCAGTTTTCATCGATGACACAA